TGGACAGGGATATCTCCCGCTAGAGCAGGTTGCTCCAAGCCCTGTCCAAACTGGCCTTGAACACTGCCAGGGATGGGGCAGTCACAGCTCCTCTGGGCACCCTGTGCCAGGGCCTCAGCACCCTTACAGGGAAGAATTTCTTCCTAATGCCTAATCTAAACCTATCCTCTTTCAGTTTAAAGCCATTCCCCTTGTCCTGTGTCCTGGGTTCAGCAGTAGCAGTCATTTTTTTCCTTCCTAGTAGCCGATGCAGTGCTGTGTTTTTGACTTTAGCCTGAGAGCAACACTGATAACACACTGATGTTTTTACTTGTAGCTAAATAATGCTTATTCTGATCAAGGACTTTTCAGCTTAAACTATGACATCCTGTCACTACAGGACTTGTAAAAGTCCATCTCCAGATTTCTTTAGGTCCCCTTTAAGCACTGGAAGCTCCTCTAAGGTCTCCTTGGAGCCTTCTCTGGGATCAACAGCCCCAGTTCTCTCAGCCTGTCTCTATAGGAGAGGTGCTCCAGTCCTCAGCTGCTCCTCTTAAGACCTGTGCTCTAAATTCCCCACCAGCTTCTTAGCCCTTCTTAGCTCCACCATTTATTTAGAATCATAGAACAGTTAGGGTTGGAAAGGACCTTGAGATCATCTAGGTCCAACCCCCCTGCCATGGGCAGGGACACCTCACACTAAACCATCTCACCCAAGGCCTTGTCCAACCTGGCCTTGAACACTGCCAGGGATGGAGCATTCACAGCTTCCCTGGGCAACCCATTCCAGTGCCTCACCACCCTCACAGGAAAGAATTTTTCCTTATATCCAATCTAAACCGGCCCTGTTTAGGTTTTAACCCGTTACCCCTTGTCCTGTCACTACAACCCCTAATGAAGAGTCACTCCCCTGCACCCCTATAGGCCCCCTTCAGATACTGGAAGGCTGCTATGAGGTCTCCATGCAGCCTTCTCTTCTCCAGACTGAACAGCCCCAACTTCCTCAGCCTGTCTTCATACAGGAGGTGCTCCAGTCCCCTGATCATCCTCGTGGCCTCTTCTGGACTTGTTCCAACATTTCCATGTCCTTTTTATGTTGAGGACACCAGAACTGCACACAATACTCCAGGTGAGGTCTCACGAGAGCAGAGTAGAGGGGCAGGATCACCTCCTTCGACCTGCTGGTCACGCTCCTTTGGATGCAGCCCAGGATACGGTTGGCTTTCTGGGCTGCAAGCACACACTGAAGCCAGCTCATGTTCATTTTCTCATCAACCAACACCCCCAAGTCCTTCTCCGCAGGGCTGCTCTGAATCTCTTCTCTCCCCAGCCAGTAGCTGTGCCTGGGATTGCTCCAACCCAGGTGTAGGACCTTGCACTTGGCATGGTTAAACTTCACAAGGTCGGCATCAGCCCACCTCACAAGTGTGTCAAGGTCCCTCTGGATGGCATTCCTTCCCTCCAGCGTATCAACCGAACCACACAGCTTGGTGTCATCGGCAAACTTGCTGAGGGTGCACTCAATCCCACTGTCCATGTCAGCGACAAAGATGTTGAACAAGACCGGTCCCAACACTGATCCCTGAGGGACACCACTCATTACTGGTCTCCAGCCGGACATTGAACCATTGACCACAACTCTTAACTTCTCCATGAACCATCTGAATAGTCGCACAAAACGCAAGCAGAACAAACCTATCTGTAGCCTGCAATGAAAAGCAAGTCAGTCCTAGCAGATACATAGACATTTCTTCTCATCACAGTCTCAGATCTGGGCTAGTTTCTGTGCTAATGGTATTCTATTTCCAAATGTCAAATTCAGAAAGTGCCAGTCACTCCTACATCAACTCGATTGCAGTTTTCATGGAGTAACATGTAACCAAAATAATATAAATTGCATTAGAGATGGATGGCAGGGTTGGAATTGTAGAAATAGAGCTGATTAGGAGTACAGTAGTTATCTGATGGCTTTGCTTTGTGTTTGAATAAAACTGTTGACTGTTGCCCAACAGATCGCTATCTTCTTTGCTAAAAAGTGTCCGTTTAAAGGTCTCCAGATGGATGGTTTGGTAAAGTGAGACTAGTTTTCAGCTAGCAAAGACTGACACTTTTGTTCTCTGACCCATAGGGTTCTAACTATGACAAGCAAAGGTTTTTGGATGAAGCATCACAGAGCCTCGTGTAACTTCTCTGAGACAAGTGTAAATGATCCAGGCAATAACTTTTCTATCTTAAACGCCTTGTTAAATGTCTGAGCAGCCCTATTCAAAATCATGCAGAGGAAAGCGTTGCCTCTCTTTTTATAGTCACCAGTGACAAATTTCTTCTGAAGAAGCAGAATAGCAATTCTTGCTGATGTGGAATAATGATTTTCTCAAATTGGCTGAAAAGAGAGTGACAACATGTAAAGTCTCACAGTTTACAGAGTAATTTCCAGTGCTGTATTTTGGAACAAGAAGCTTCTAGGATACCCATTTTGCTAAAAGGAAACAAGCACCTATGCCTGTTGTGCCCATCCTGTTCAGCACTTGTCACTGAAAAAGCCAACACCAGAACCAGTCAGGGTTTTCACATCTAAAACGCAGATGGTTGGAAGGATGCCTCACTGGCATGCATCGTTGCTACAGGTATGTTCACACACACATTCCTGCAGGGAGAAAGATCTCATAGGCAACTGCTTTCATCAGTTTCTCTCAAATTATGAAGAGGTGGGTCAGTGCTGATTCAGAGAAAACTCCAGGAACAAACTCACCAACAGTTTCAAGTTGACAAGCAGGAGACACGGGGGATAGCTCCTCCTAACGTGTGTCCCCGTATTGCCATGCAGGCCATTCTTATATGGTCACTGGGAATACATACATATTTATGAGGCTACACATAAATTCCATCATTTTCCAGAAAGTTTCCCACATGCATACAGAGTATGCGATGGGGGTCTTTAAGGGTCGTTTACTTCTCCCAACAATCTTCATCACTTCTGGCAGTCGTTGAAGCACCAGCTTAATTAACATTACAGACATAGCAATCATCCTGTCCTTCTACTTATCAGTTAGTTTTACTGCTCCCATCCTGGACATCTGCTAGTCCAGGATACTCCCCATCCCCAGGTCCTGTTTTTCTATTTTGTTTTTCATACACTTTTTGTGCTAAGGTCCTAAGGACCTAAAACTACCTCAGCTACCTTCAAGCACTGCAGTTATTTTCCATTACAAAGCCATCAGACTTAACGTTACTTAGAACTGATTACATCGTGCTTTTGTGCCTCCTTGTCTCAGTGCCCAGGACTAAGGTTTCCCTTACTAACAAATGGACTTGCTCAGTGCTTTTAGGGATACTTCCTTCAAAATATCCTCAAGTGCTGGCCTTCAGCTCTCACGTGTGCACCAAGATATTTCTTGTCAGTACAACAGGGAAGAGAGCTGAAAGATACAGGGCTTTGACCACAAAATATTCCCACGGATACACCGAGACCCAAGGCCCCAGCATATTTTCATACTGGTAAGTCTTCAGCATCCGTCTTTGGTGACTCTTCCTCTTCAAACACTGAGGGGGTTAAATCTCTCAGGAAGCTAAATTAAAGCCTCTTGAAACCAAGCCTTCACTACTGAGCATGGTGGTGACTGAGGGACGTGAATCACTCCTCTGGCCCCAGGACTGCCTATGTGACACCTTCTGTCCTGCTCACGCCCCTGCTTTCACAGGGCTCCTCCTACTCTTTTTTCCTCCTCCTCCCTCAGACTTGCCCTCCATGAAGTTATCCTCCTTCCCATCAGAAAACAAACTGTTCCGGTTCATGCTCTCACTCATTACTTTGTGTTACTGATTCGCTTTAGGGGGTCATTACTACCTCTTAATTTTACAACCATACTGGTTAGAGAAGCTAGATGCAAAAACAGGTCACTTACATTATAAAACTGTAGCATTTTAGGAATTGTTTCAAACCAAAGTCCATTTGGCCAAACACATTTAGGTAAGATAAACTAATTTTGCCTAACATTTTCTAGGCAGGATTTCCATAAGAGCAACAGTATGAGATACTCAGGGTGCCAAGATCTGATGAATGACCAAAATAAGGGTGACTTAGAAATTACCTTTTCCACAGATGAAAGAAATTAATCAAATTGGACTTATCTCAAAAAACAAGCTCCTATTGGACACGTAACAAAAGCAAGGTTCTCCATATGAAGACAGTAACTGTCCTTGGTAGCCATGGAGTTTACCTGAATGAAATTTTAGGGAAAAAAGACTTTAAAGAATATGCATACGCTTATATTAAAATGATCTAGATCAGCTCCAGGCACCCATGACCTCTGGTGGGAGCTTTCATCTCCACGAATAGCAACAACCTAGCTGGGGGAAACTGTCTCCCAAAATAATCTTCCTTTATAACTCTCTATGGTTATGTATTTTACCCAAGCCCAGCCCCACTCCTGCCACATTCCTGATGCTCCCAGCCCCAGGAAGGGCTGGGGAAAGGCACCAGCCGTACTGGGCCACACTAATGTGTGATGTCTTTTTGGCTGCTCATCTCTCCCTCTGAAGAGATGTAGCCAATGACATTCCACCAAAGCCACATGAAGACTGTGTTTCTACAGCTCATCGCACAAAAGCAGCAGCAGATCCAAAGCCTGGTGAAACAGGAGCACAGGGAGCTTTCCTGCAGACAAAAACTATGGAGTGAGTTCAGGCAGGGTCTCCACTGATATTTTTCCTGTTGGAGATGTGGAAAGAAACTGGCCTCATCCCTCCACGAGAGGACAGTCCCCAGCAGGGAAAGGAAGCCAGTGACACATCTAAGGAAACCAATAGCAGCTACAGTGAAGATCTCTAGAGCTGAACTTTGCTGTACACATAAATTTCATGTCCCCAGTCTATGGGGTGGCCAAAGGGTACATACGTAGCATTAACTCCATTGGATGCTGCCCCAGTGTGGCCAAGCCCCCAAACTGGTCTGTCAGCAGCTGTTGATCACTGGTCCCTGGGGAGGCTTTCAGACCAAATGTTACACTAAAAGACAGACATAGAAAAAAATCTATACTTGATGCAAGATGCTTAAATACAAACATTCATCAGTTACAACTCTTATGGCAGCTGAGGATCTAACCCTCTGCATGCAGAAGGGGCAAGTGTAGTCTTAAAACATTTGCAAAGCTTCCAGGCCATGACTGAAAGTTGTAAGTGTCACAACTGATGCAGAAACAACCTGAATCATATTTCACATCTCCCGAAATTTAACCATCATTTCCAGTTAACTGTTCACTAACTGAAGTTTCAGGATATTCTGGGTATATTTGCTCCACTCTTTATTGAATTCAGCATTCTTTTACTTTTTTGCATCATTTAAGATAGAGTTGTTTTTCATGTTTTCATGCAAATTTTATCCAGACAGTCCACAGGTTTAAGACATACGTTTTCTCAGAAAGATGTGTTTTCAGCTCTTCAATGACTGCCAGGGGGTTTGGCCTGCTGAGCACGTTCCCAGGACGCATGAGGAAAGAGTTAACACAGAGCCACTTGCCAACCTGGAGCACAGGAAATGATGGATCAGTGTCCTAAATCAGCATGCATGATAGCAATCACATAAACAATGTATGAGTGGGATGACAGATTATACCATTTACAGTGTGCGATTCCCCCCCCCCCCCCAACTGAGGGTTAGCAGTAAAATGGACAAAAGTTAAAGCAGTGCGTTAGGTCTTCTTAAGGAGAATATTAAAATCTCAGATACAAAGAGTCACAGGTAGTAGAGACGCCATTAAGTGTTTTGAACTAAGAAATTATAAAGAAAAAAAGGAACAAAGTTAATTAATATTTCTTCTGGGAAATCTCCTTTTTGTTAAATATCACCATTTGTTAATCACATCCAGGCAATTCCTAGGTTAATGGTACTTTCAATGTAGATTATTTGAAATTTAATTTGGAATTCATTCAAATTCTGTTCTTTTGTACCACTGAAAAGCCTTCATTCTTGAAAGGGCTGATCTTTAGATTAAATGTTTTCCTCTCTGGAGGGAAACCAACAGCCTATACATGCAAGAATGCAGTTAAAATACTGGCAGTGCAAACGGATTTCTCAGATACTTCTCTCTTTTTTTTTCCATATTTCTAGAGTTTCCTTGGAAAATATGCTGTCTGACCTCCTGAGGGAGCAAAGCATCTTCTCCACAAATTTGGTTGGAGAGCTTGGAAGGAAAGCAGCCATTTGCTTCAGCGTCCGTGCTCTGTGGGCTGCTAATTTGAGTTTCTGTAAAATGGAACCAGCTTCAAGTGCCTCAAACAACTCCTGTCAAGCACTGACATTTCAGATAAGGAGAACTTTAGCTCCTATGCTGTCTTTCTCTGTGGCTTCAGCAGGCTGGTTCTTAGCCCTATGTTTTACAATATCACTGCATACTTACTCTAGCTTTTGTTTTCCATGCCAAGTGGCTAGAATTACTGGGAGGATTTCTGCACTGTGGGGAAGAAGATGGGTTTTTATGAGACAGTTGCAGCTCAGTAGAAGAAATGAAAAAGTGTGATTTTTACAGGTCTCGAGGTGGGGAATGGAGAGTCTTATGAGGGTAATTTAATGAGGCAAAGTCCCCTCAGGTATTTGAAACCCTCAAGAGGCTATTGAAAGAAGGAAATTAATTCCAGAATGTCTTGCCAGTCAGGTTATGGATAACAGGAGTGGGTCTTGCTAAGGGCGATGAGGGAGGGAGGAGCCTGGTGGTGTTCCCAGCTATGTGAAGTGGGCATGGCTGAGTGGTTGGTATCCAGTACCCTTGTTCGCTGCTGAAGCCTGAGAAATATAATGGCCTACAAAGCTACTTCTGTACTGAAGGTCAGGTCTGATGAAGATCAGCCCACTGATGCTTCAGCTCAGCTAAACCAGGGCACTGTTCCTGCCTGGTCCATATCCCCTGGCTCCTGGACTATGGGATGAGTGGGGATGCACAGAAATAGTACCAAAACCACAGGTTTCACATTTTTCATCATGGCTCGCTGAAGGACCTCAGTCAATATCTGCAAGCACTGGTGGAAGGAGTCAGCACAAGGACTGACAAAGATCACCCCAGACTCACATTGTCTTTTCTGAGAGATTCTGCTGGTACTGATCAGAGAAAGAAATGCACTCAGAGTCCTACAGCTCTTCACTGTCAGTAATGAAGTCACATCTGCTACCAAGTCCCCCCCATGACAAAAAAAGCCATCCCAAAGGACCATATCAAGTGCCTTCTCTCAGTTAACGTGAGGGGAACCGACATTTCATCACTTGTGTAATGAGCTTAATAACATCTAATGTTCACTTAATACGGTTCTTGGTGGTTGACCACGAAATAAAGCCAGGTTGATAGGGATTAGCGGCTTTAATGCCAAGGATAAGTGGGTTGAAAGATGGTCACTTTATTTTCCACTGAGTTCATTATTATTGCTATTATCTGTACTGCTGGTGCTCTTTCTACAGCAGCATCAGGAAGCCTTTGTTACTTACCAAGCTTCAGCTGACCTCAATTTTCCAAACATTTTTTTCTGTTCATCAGTCTTTGCTATTTTTTTAAGGCAAAAAAAATAAACAAACCCTCCCAAAGTAGGATTGTGTTACATGGAGGATGAACACATTCTTCTAATCCTCTACTTCAGTTTTGAAGAGACAATGTATGCTGTTTCTGTTGTTCCTCCCCTGATCCCATTAGGTTGACCATCAGCTCCAAATGGGATGCTGTGCACTGGCAGCATTTTCAAAGGTGCAGTGTTTGTATATATAAGCAAGGGGTTTGATAGAATGTGTCAATGAATGTTGTATGTTTTTTCTCACAATGTATGTTTTTTTCTGTTTTAAGCTGCTTGTAAACAAAAGCAATTTGAAAGGCAGTTTGCTTCTGCAGCTGGGATCATTTCATTGACTCTTTGGCATTACAACCAACACTGTTTTTCCAGGATGGGTCTTAATACCTCATGCAATACCAACCACCAAGCTGCCATGGCACCACTTTTTACAAAATATTGCTGTGCAACCTTTACTAATGAACAGAAGCAGCCAGATTCCTCCCAGCTCCGAGGAAGGAAATTTTTCTCTACATCTGATGTCTTTCACTTCTGCTCTTAGTTATAAATATTCTAGTGCATGAGCTCAGATGAATAATGCTCATACTACAAATAACTAAAGCTGAGGAGCGCTGTATTTAAAGGTGAAGAATCATTTATTTCGGAATAGAAGGCACTTTCTTTTTATGCAGCATCTTTCAAATGTGAGCGAAGTCTTCTATGAAAGAATTGAAGTGATGGGGTTGTGGTTTTATTTTTAAACTTAGAAACTCAGGTACAGACTTCTACCCAGGCTAGGTTTCAAGACAACATTAAATACGTGGGGAAAAAAAGGGAGGTAAGGATCCCTGTAATTATGAACATAAATACATACCGTGTCAGCAAAACCTTTCTAATTGATCATTGTTTTCAAGCAACCTCATTGACACTGGGGATTTTTTGTCTTCTATGCATTTCCAGCATTAAGAAACTTCTGTGATTGCATAGCTCAAATCCACACAGGCAATCTGGTATTTTATTGTTCCTCTTTTGTGAGGCTGTGGTTAGTAATGACTTAAGTAATGCTGCATAATCCATTTGTAGTCTACTATGCCCTTGAAGACAACAGATAGGTTTGAGTCTTTTCTTTACAAAAGAACACATCAATCTCTTCTTGGCAGAGTTGCACTGATTTAAACTCAAGAATAAGGAATTCAATAAACATAGGGAGGACTGGTTTTGAGGAACTGAACACTTGCAGGCACCTTTTAATTTTGAGAGTGCTGAAGTAAAAAGAAAAGCTAGATTTTGGGTTTATTCTCCCACAAAATAATTTTGAGAAGTATGCTAAGGAAGTTATGAGACCCATCGATGATAAACATCTCTGACATACAGAGGGATTTATTCATTATGGACAGTATGACATAGAAACCCACAAACTGATAGGATTATCACACAGATCTTGCCCATGGCCATATTCAGGATTGTCTTGTTACTGCAACTATTTAGCAGGAGACTTTCCAACCCACCTTTTAAATTCCTCCCTGCCAAACCGCTGCAGGCCAAAACCAGTCATTTTGCATTTGGCTGCTACCTGTTACCATTCCTTTCTTTCCCAGATAGTAAATGCCTTAACCCCTGTGGTGCCTGCTCTATTTTTTTTCTTTGTTGTTCGTATTAAAATGGGTCATATTCAAAACTTCTGCGTTGTTCAATGGGGACCATAACAGTTGAAAAGCAAAAACCTTAACACCTTTAAATAGGCTACAACATGAGGGCTGCACCTTTGCTTGCAGTGTTTAACAAGACAAATACCACAGTTTTGCAGTTCCTCATGGAAATTCAAATGTCTTTAAAGGTGCCTTTTTTCTAGGCAAAGATATTGCCCAGTCACCAGCTCCACAAAACAACTAGCTCCTGGAGGCATGCTGTACCTTGGTGCTTCAGCAGAGAGGAGCAGTGCCTTTAAAAGGGAGGCCCATGTGGGAATAGGTCTGGCACTCCAGTAAAGAGCAGGAATAAAAACATCAAACAAGTTCTATCAGGAGAAGGCTGGATGTGTTAATTATAAGCCTACATAAACGTTTAAGATTATGCATGACTGTCAATACACAATGGACCATCCGTGTCATCAGCAGAAGGCTTGGACACCTATCAAGCATAGAAACTCACTTGTGTTTTCAGCTTGTGCAATATTTGTTCATTTTAAGTCAATATAAACCCTATCTAGCCCTCCTTAGGTTTGTCAGTCCCCAAATGACTTTCCTCACCCTGCAACGCCACTGCAATAGTGTGGATCATCATTGTAATGGCTTTGAAAGAAAGCCCAACAAGTCCAAAGACTTCTTCATGTGAAGTGCCATGGGCAAGCAATGTCTTACCAGTGCATCCTGTCGCTGGCAGCTTTGTCTGTCTCCTGAAAAATTAGCTCCAGAGCTGCAGCCCAGCTCACTGTCTACCCTGTGTTCCCCTGCAAAAAGGTAGGGCTTGTTGTCCAAGAGAGAACAGGTTGGCATGTAATTTAGGTCCAGATTTTGCTCAACAGCACTTATGTTAAATGCTCTAGAGAGTACATTTGCAACACTAAATCTCTGATTACATTAAACCTGCATATCATGCATCTGTCGATTTAAGTAGTATTTTCCAGTTCATTTGGGTGAGCACGAAGGACGAGTTACCCCAAACTTTAGAGAGTGTTAGGTCATGAATAGGTACAAAACTTTTCAATCTATGAATTAAAACTAAAGCTTCTTTTCTGTTTGAATACATCAGCACTTTCTTCCTGTTACCACCTAAACCACGAGGCTTCAATCTTAACGGTTTTCTCACAAAGAACTGCCCAGCACCTCTGGCTGGATGTTTGTCCTTTCCACCACTTGTTTTGGCTGAAGAAAACCCTAACACCCTTTACTATATATCAAGCAGCTATTTCCAAAGCGGCTCAGAGCCTTGGCTCATCTCCTGTTGTCCCCCTTTTCCTATCATTGAGGATATTCATGCAACAGTGGTATAATCC